CAGGGCAAGTTAGAACCAGTTAGAATGAGTTGAGGCCATCGAGGTGCGTGCGCTCAGAAGTAATTTCTTCCCAAGGGAGCGTGGGAAGTTAATCCTCTCAGCAATTAACTTCGGGGGCTTATAGTCTATTCTCTCTTCCTTTTTGATTTTTTTTATTTTTTTAATAGAAATTGTTTTTGAGCCTCAGAAGTCTGTGCTGAGCCTTCCCTGGCAGGCGCTCCGCTCAAGCCTGGAGGGGAGCTGGGAGCGGGTCTCTGGAGAGGCCAAGAGGCACCTTCTCTCATTCTGTAATTTTAGGCTTGTGGAGAGACAGAAGGAAAAAAAATGCAAAAGGTGGGGGGAGTCGAGGGGACCGGGACATCTGGGAACGGACATCATTCTCTCTTCTCCGTCCTTCCCCTTCTTTCTGGAGCGCAGAACCAGCAACCTGGTTCAGGGCCCTCCAAGAGCCCCTAAGTTTGAACTTGGAGGTGCATGGGTGCAGCTCCGGCCAAAGCGCCGGGGGCGCTCCTGGGATCTTGGCCACCCGGAGCCTTTGCTGCCCCTGGGTGCTTCCTCCCTACCCCCGACTCCCACCCCACCCCCACCTGGGTCTCCTCCCAGGAAAGGGAGGGGGTTTACTAGGCGCAGTGCCGCCTGAGCGCGTACTTTTAAATTTTTAGCTGAAGGTAGGAAAGATAGCTTTCGTTCTAGTCGCATCTAGGGAAAGCCGAGGCAAAAATTCGGAGGAAATGCATTCCTCCACTTTGCAAAAATGTGTGCAAAGGAGATGAGATTGAAGCGGGACCGTATTGAGGGGATGCCTCCAGTTTGGACCCTCTGCCATTCCACAGTGCTTCCTTCTGGGTGACCTGCTAATCCCTGCCCTGGGGGCCTTCAGATAGGAGTAGGTAAGTGAGGAGAGGAACAGGCGTGAATAAAGCCCACCTACCTGTAAACTCAGCAATCCTAAAGGATAAATCTCATTTTTCCAATACTTTATTTCCCCCACCCTCGCGCATGCGCGCGCACCTACACACACACACACACACACACACACACACACACACACACACACACACATTCTCCCTATCATACTTTCAGATATATAATCCAATATATTAATAAGTAATATTTACTCATCCTAGGAAGCTTGGAAAACAAACGTTAAAAAAATAAGATGTAAATCATTCCATGCTACCACACAGTATTTTTATCTATTTCCTTCTACTCTTTTTTCATATATACAGATATAAATTCAAGATGTTCACAAATTTGGGACACTTTTGGATACTGGTCTTTTTCCACTCAGGCGTATAGAGTGAGCACTTTTTCTTTAGCTGTAAATATGATTCAAATGTAATTTCCATTGCTGTATTTCATTGCTGTAGGGATGTTTCATGAGTTAACTCCAATCCTTTACAAGTCATAGCTAAGATAGTTCCTTTTTTAAAAAATAAATGATGATTCAAAGATCATTCTTATAAATGTCTTCTTCTCTGTCTATGATAGTTTCCTAATATTAGATAAATAGAAATGAAATTTCTGCATCAAATGAACATTTAAATTTGCAGCTACAAAGGGCCAGGTTGCCTCCCAGGTAGGTCCTTCCAGTTCACAGTCCCTCTCACCAGCATTGCAAGGATGTGTCTATTTCTCAAGTGCCTTCATTTACAATTCTTCCTAGTTCTCCTATCTATAGAAACTGAATTAGCTCTGAAATTACCATTCTCCCAAAGATGATTTCTTATTTTGACTGCATCTTTTCACCAGGATTTTTTCTACCTCTATCATGAGAACATTAGGATAAACAAGTAAAAAAAAAATGTAACCAGCTAAAGCCAACCAAGAAAACCAGGGAGTGTATTTTTTTTAATTCTCTAGCACTTTCATTAAATAAACTGAAATTTGGACAATGACCTCCATATCAGTTTTATCAAGTAAAATTACTCATTTTATTTTCTAGACAAATTTTTAGATACTAAGACTAGCATATTTGTATTTTTAAAGATACATTGAACATTACTCATTTCAATATGTTGAAGGAAAATAACTATTTCTCATCTCATCATCAAAGAATATTCTGCTCCCCAACTTATGGAGTGCTACTGGTTCCATCAACCCCTCGTGTTTATCCAGTTATTAATTTATTCAACTAAAAATACATTGACATATAGTGTAAATCGGTTCAAAACTGGAAGATCTTACAGAAATGCCCTTCCTCCTCCCACTTAAAGTCCTCCTGAGAACTAAACATTTTTTTTTAAATCTGCAAGTGTTAAATAAGTAAAAAAAAAAGTTCAGCTCTAGAAACCATTAATATATTGTTGAAAGAATAAATTTTGAAAACAAACAAAAAAACCCCAAAAAAACTATATAGACAGAAGACCTCAAAATCATTAGGTTCTGAAGAGTAAATACAACCATCCATCATCATTAATCCTCTCCCTCATATTCTGAACCATTGTGTTATATTCTTAATAAGCACACAATATCCTACAGTGAATGCCTCTTCAGCATAGTAAATAAAACCTAACAAAAACCTCCAAATAGAAAGCTATTTTCCTATTAGTAGAATTATGTTCTAACAATTCTTAAAACTGTTACAGCTTATAAATGGTTTGCTGTCTCTACATTTATTATACGAGTATGTTTAGAAGCTGCTCTAAAATGTAAAGTCTCTTAAGGCACTTTTAAAATCATTATATTAACAGAATAATTTGAAGCCAAATAGGGATCAGAAACACAGAGAAATTGATTGACTTTTTCCTTACACCAAATTATCCCTAGAGGTGAGACAAAATGATCTGCATTTGGAACGTGAATTCACTGCACCTCCATACCTTGACATTCAACTTTTCTAAGCAACGTGACAGTTTTAATTTTTCCCATGTTTGATCCACAAATTTGGTGTACTTTTTAATACACGTGTTTTTAGTATATAACACACCCTGTGTTGAAATCGTTTTATTCTTTATTATTTTCTAAACCAACACTGATAGAAATATCAGTAGACACTGGTTTTTCAATATCTTCCACCAGTTTAAAAAAATCTTAATGGTGTCAATTACTTCTGGAAAATCACAATAATTAGTTTTTGAAATCTTAAAGTTATTTGCACATTTGGAATCTACCATTTTAGTCATTGCTTGGAGTTGATTGATTTATACACTCTTTACTGACTGAAAACTGCCTTTCGATCTCAAACTAAGTTCCCCATAACTATCAGGTTACTATTAGTATTCAGACACGTACACCAAAAAAAAAAAAGATCTAAATGAAATCATATTTGAAAGACATAATCAGGCTTTCCAAGGAAAGTAAAAATAATCAAAAGCCTTTGACATCAGCCATTCAGGATGATCATCTTTTACAGTTGCCCAATGTGAAAGCAGATTTTGACAAAATTAGCACTGGAAAGTGAACCAAATATTATGCGAGTATGCATAATTCCTGCATGAACATACAATTAAGACCCTTGGGTTGGTGTTTATTATTGCATTTGTCAGCATTTCCATTATAAAAACACTGCTGCGGAAGATTTATAACATAGCTATAAAACTTCTGAGTTGAAACTTAATAAGCACAGTTTAGTATGACTTTACTTTTTGTAATCACAAACCTTCCAAAAAAATTTCAAAGGTAATGAAGACACTTAAGTTCATTTACATGTGAGGTTCCAAAATGTCCCTGCAACTTTAAAAACCAAGAGGTTCTATTTAATACAAAACATAAACTTGATTATTATTTATTTTTATCAATACTAGCTGGCAGATCAACATTGAATTTTAAGTTCAAAATTTACTTTTTATAGGGCGATATATCATTAAATCATATTTAGATGTGTTACAAAAGTGTTGAAGCTTTGGTATATATCTGTTTATTGGCCCAAGTTCATGCCAAGGTTCCTGAACTTTGCCAACATTTTGGGTGAAGTTAAGTCCAATTTCTGGTCAGTGCCCTCTCTTCCTGTGAATGCTGAACTAAAAAAGGTTACAAAACAAGAGTCAGCAGTCCTGACCATTTTGTTTTGACTTTGGGGTTTCTTTGAATCCAAAGCTCAAAACCAAACCTGGCGGAGGAGGAGAAAGAAAGGAAAGAAGCAATGCAAACTGACAGGAATAAAATACCAGAAAGATGGAAAAACTTCTTCAAGTCTCTAAAAACCAAAGCTTATAAATTACCAAAACTTTCTTTGTGACACCAAATTTTAAGTTCTGTGCTTAAAACACATTCTGTAAAGAAGTATAAGGAATACAAGGAAATGCAAAGAATAGTATGAATGTATTTTAAAACACTCTTTATGGCTACGATTTGGTAGAATTCTACCCTTACATATACACAAGTCAAAGAACCTTCAATATTTAGTGAAATCAAGAGTTTGATAAATATTATAGAAATCATAATAAAATTATGGTTACTTAGTTCTTTGTTTTCAAAGCACCATTCACATCCTTTCTCTCATTTGATCCTCCCAGCTAGATTTCAAGAGGCTCTAGAGTCTCTCAGTTAATGAGTCATCCGTGTACCATCTTCAAAATTCATTCATTTACTGAAATCAGCATGATACTGAGATTCCTAAAAAGGACTGATGGTCACATATAGCAACACATTACTTTGAAAGATATTGCCTTCAAAGATCAAAAGCACCATAACATGCTCTGTGGATGATAAATTATACAAAAGGCTGGTATGATCTGGCTTCCTTAAAGGCCAC